AATACCTAATAAATATTCAAAATATACCTAATTATTCTAAAATATTCAGAATATACCTAATAATTATTCAAAAATATTCAAAGTATGCCTAATTATTCAAAAATATTCAAAATACACCTAATAATTATTCAAAAATATTCAAAATATACCTAATTATTCAAAAAAGATTCAAAATATACCTTATTATTCAAAAATATTCAGAATGTACGTAATAATTATTCAAATGTATTCGAAATATACCTAATTATTCAAAACTACACCAAATTATTTGCTAATTATAATTTCAATTATAAAAAGTAACAATGGAAACTACAGAAAAGAAAGCTGTGGTATTTTTCTAAGAGGAAATTTGATGGTCTATATAGTGAGAGAATGTAGCTCGTAATATCTGGATAGTTAAATATGGTCACCCTTTGAGCACTAAAGACATTTCCTTGAGGCATGACAATAGAAATGTACAAATGCTATGCTATGCCTGTCAAAAGGGGGCTATATCTATCTATTTCAAGATCCCAAAACAAAGATTTTACAAGATGTCATAATGTCCCACAATAACTCTACATCACTTTGATCTTTGAAAAGTTTAATTTGAAAAAACAAGTCTGAATCCGTTGTGTTCATTCAAAATAAAATAATGGGGGCTTTGTTTGATTTGTGGTCATTCTAGCCACTTATTACCCTCAGTTATATCATCCTTACCCCAGGGCATCTCACATGTCAAACATTAGGGGCTGAGACACCCCTACATCTTTTCATGAAACAAAGAATCTTTTTCAAATCATTGATGATATAAGTTTAATGACTTCAGAGTAAAGTTTTTAAATTATTGAGCCTTCTCAAAAGAAATTACAATCTTCATACAAACAAGGAGTAAATATTCTGCAAGACATATTATACAGCAAAACTTTCTGTACCCAAAAGCAATTGACTATAAAAAAAAGTCTTAATTTTTCACAAAATTATAAAAATCAAGTCTAAAAACAACATTTTTCAGACACATTCAGAATCTTCAGAAGCCATTTTCTCCAATCTTAACTGAGAGTAGATCAAAATTGCGAAATTTTAAACCCAGACCAACACACGACATACTTTAAAATTTTCCCAATCAAGCAAGATGGTACATGTGATTCAAGATATATATTTTAAACTTTTTAAATATTCAGATGAAAATAGTGGTTGTTATGGAGATGTATTTTTTTTCACAAGTTTTATTTTGTTCCTATGAATGCACATTAACAATTTATCATGTTAATCATATGTGTGAGCAAATTATAAACGTTATACGTCTTTTTGAATTATATAACTTCCAACTCGTCTCAACGCGTACACATGAGAATAAGTTCTACTTGTCCAACTTCAGTAGGAACGTAGGCTGAATATAGGTCAGTTGTCTGAAGATCGCATAGCATGAAACTTTGATTAACAACAACACGTTTTTTAGGTTTTAATATTTCTAACTTTGAATAGTGTACGTATAAGCATCTTATATACATATATAAATATGAAGATCTACATTTTGATTAAAATCTATATCTAGATATTGTGTTTCAAGCTTTCTCTGTATTTGACTTCACTTGCCACCCATGATCTGTCCCTTTAATGTCAGTATGTAATTAGTTAGATTACCCAATCAATCAAAAGAATTATAAAAAGTTGTTTATCAATTTCATACTTGTACATATTTGTCACCAATGACTTCCTGTCATATCCAATGATATGAATGACTATAGTAATTATTCATTTATCACAAACTCAAATTGGATTTTATTGTCTGAGAAGATTAAAAAGTTTTTTAAATTTTTTCGATAATTTTTAAGAGAATTGGAATATCAGCCTCAAAATAGTACTGATAGTTTTAGCCTTGATAAAAATATACTCTTTTGTAAGTTTACATTGAAAAGTCTCAAGTTTTGGCTGAAAATGGGCCTCTGTAAATTGCAAACTTTGAAGACATATTGTGTGTTTATGTTTATATTTTATCTAAGCAAAGACTTAGGCTTTGAGGCTGCTATTCCATTTCTCATAATAATTATTGAAAAAGTTCAAAAAACTTTTTACTTTGCACAGACAATAACTTATCTATATAATTTTGACTGTTAAATTTTTGATTTTTTTTGTTTGATTTTTCTCCCAACTTTTGAAACCAATGAAGGCCTATGTTATTTTCAGTCATGCACCATGCAGTTTGAAATTAACTGGAGTGTGATATATTTTCTTTTATTTTTGTAGCTTTTTGCAATAGACCCAGCTATGATTACTCCATGCAGTGTGCAATGTAGAAAATCTGCACTGGATTCTGGAAAGAGATAGAGAGAGAGAGGGGGGGAGGAGGGGGAGGGGGTGGACACTGCCTTGTGATGAAGAAGATAGTAAGATTTTACTCTCATCAGTCTCAGTCAGGTGTGGCAGTCAACAAGTAGAGCAATAAATGTCGGAGTGAAAACTGAATGACTCAAGTTGTAAATTGGGTGTGTTGAACTAAAATGAGTGAAACTAAAACTGGGTTGAAAGTAACTCGAAACAGCCAGTCGTCAGCCTCACGAGTTTCAATAGTTCGTCTGTTTGCTCACTTGAGGAAGTAAGGTGTTCTTTGTGTTGACCTGCAGCCATTTGTATTTTTCAATTTAAGGGAAGATAGGGTATGACAATTAATTAAAGAAAATCGTAATTTTTCCCAAAAAATTATAGTTTTTGATCTCAATTTGTTCCAAACATTTTTAAAAATTATTCAAAAACTTGTTGGTATATATTTTAATATTTTTTGTGAAACAAAATAAATTTTTGGTAATTATATTAAACACAGCACCCCTATAGAAATATTGGTATCACCCGTCAGCAGTCTCTTTGTAATCCGATCATTGCCTTTGTTTCTAATTTTACGAAATTTAGGACTCAAATCGAGCCAAATATACACAAAAATGGTGGAATACCTTCAATAAAACGTTCAAATCAGAAAAATCACACTGCATTTTGAAGACACAACACAAAATTGTTCAAAAATCATTGAATAAACACAAGAATCCGAACTTCATCCACCATAAGTGGGCGTATCAAATTTAACGGAAATTACCGAAGAATGTTGACGGAAATTGCCGATGAACAGACAAAAAAAGCGCGCGCTTTCCACATGCGCAAATCGGTGAAAGGAAATATCTTTCAACCAATGAAAAGCCAAAAAAATGTCACGTGACGAATTAATTGCACACAACAAGCGGGAATCTTAACTAGGTCGTCTGCTGATTCTTTGTTTGCGAAGAGAAGCCGGTGAAGAAGGACATATTTTCATTTAAGCTGAGAAAACCGATCACATAAAACATACATCATGCCTGGAACAAAGTAAGTTTGACTTTTGAAATGTATTTTATCAACTGCTACCATTTTCCTGTTGTAAATAATTTATCATCTCATTAGCCGACAACCAGCATGGCGGTGAATCAAAGAAGTACACGCCATTTCATTGTGTGTAAACAGGAAAACTCGAAACTACCTCACTTGGCTCGTAGTTGAGATATTTCCTTGTTCAAATATTGGCCAGTGAAAGCTATGTAGACTGGTTTTGCGTTAATAATTCATGAGGTTAAATTTGATTTCCGTCCACTTCTTTTTCCTCATTTCCCTTCAAGTTCCGAATTATTTTTTCGGCCGTTTTTTTCTCACTTCGTCCTTCCTTCGCAAAGCATATTAATAAGATTATGTGGCCCATGATATTATCATGCCCATCAACGAAAATGGTGCTCGGTTTCAAGAGTCAACTA